GAGCAGTAATGACAGGTGACTGAGTCCAGGGTTCCCCAACGTGGCGCCCGTGGGCACCAATATGCCCCTGTGATACCTTTCCTGGCACCCACGTGTGTGGGCAGAGTTTCTGACTGGCTGTGCAGATTTTTAAGAAGTTGATTTGGCAGCAGGGGCCGCGGTGGCTGAGCTGCAGACTGGAAGGTTTGTCGTTCGGCCCAAGGGCTGCGGTACGGGGTGAGCTCCCGTCTCCAGCCCCAGCTCCTGGCAACCTAGCAGTTCGAAAGCAAGAAACTGCAAGTAGATAAATAAGCACCGCTTTGGTGGGAAGGTAACAGCGTTCCGTGCGCCTTGGTTAGTCATGCCGGCCACATGACCACAGAAACATCATCGGACAGCGCTGGCTCTTCGGCTTGGAAACAGAGATGAGCACTGCCCCCTAGAGTTGGATTCGACTGGCTTTCGAGCAAGGGAAACCTTTACCTTTTACTGCCACCACGGCACAAGGATCTTAGCAGCATGACTGAAGATATGTGGTGAGTATACAAGGAAATATTTTTCAACAATATGTTCATTTTAAAAAGGCATCCTGTTAAACAGAGCTTGCGCTTGAAATACTGAAGTGTTACTATTTAGCGCTGGGCATGACATCACTCCCGGAGATTTTGTGGTTGGCACCACATCTTGTGGCCGCCATTTTGTGGCTGGGCCCACCTCTAGAGGCAGCCATTTTGTGGTGATGCCCACCATCCAGTTTCAGAATTCCAAAGGGGCCCACAGGGGCCCCTGTGATAGATAGGCAGACACCGTGCAGCCAATGCTCCCTCTAAGCTGTGGAGTCTTGTGAGCAAAAATTCAACTTTGTGAGCTACTGGCATTAAAGTTGTGAGCGAGCAATTTCGCTGCCGCGTAAATTAGTTTGCTCTGGAGCCATCCTTCCTGAGCTAAGACAAAAATGTGTGAGCTGGAGGCTAAAAAACTGAGCTAGCTCACACTAACTCAGCTTAGAGGGAACACTGATTGCAGCTACTTATCTAAGATTTTTATCTAGCCTTTCCCCCACGGAGCTCAAGATGGTATGAATGATTCTCCCCCATTTTATCATCTCAAAAAGATAGACAAGGGCGTGAGAGAGTGTCTGGCCTAAGGTTACCCACTGAGGCCGCTTTCATACATGTTAAATAATGCCGTTTCAATCCACTTCAGCGACCGTTTGTGAGTGCATCTTGCCATTTCACACAGCAAAATCCAGTTGCAAAGTGCATTGAAAGTGGCTTGAAGGTGTGTCATTTAGTATGTGTGAAAGTGCCCCTGAGTTTCACAGATGGGTGAAGACTCGAACCCTGGTCTCCCGAGTCCTAATGCAAAACTCTAACTTACATCCTAACCACTATTACCCACCCACCCACCTCGTACGTTCTTGCCTGGCTGGAAGGAGAAGTAATACAGCATTTACTTAATGGCTGGACTTTTTTCCCCATCACAGATTTTCAAAACATGTTGGAAGTCAGTGTGGTATAATGGTTTGAGCATTGGATTCGGATGTGGGAGGCCCAGGTTCAGATCCCCCGCTCTGTCATGGGAGCTTGCGGGGTGACCTTGGGCCAGTCACAAACCCTCAGACTCACCTACCTCACAGGATCGTTGTGAGGAGGAGAGAAGAAAGCAGTAAGCTACTTTCCTGCCCTCACTTGCCCTCGTCTGCCCTCGCTTACTCCTAATGCCATCACACAATCCAAGGGGAAACAGGTCTCTCTTAAACAGGAGGTGGACTGGGCCCAGAGCTTTGAAGCAACACTTGGCATGGGTGGTCTTGTTAAAAGTGTTTCAACCCACGCAAGGCAGCCACACCTGTTTCGTTTGCGCAGCCAGAGATCTGTACCCCTTGGGGATATTGAGCTGGCATGTGAAGAAGAAGAAGAAGAGATTGGATTTATACCCCGCCCTTCACTCGGAGTCTCAGAGCAGCTTACAAGCTCCTTTCCCTTCACCTCCCCACAACAGACACTCTGTGAGGTAGGCGGAGGCTGAGAGAGCTCTGACAGAAACTGCTCTTTTCAAGAACAGCTCTGACAGAACTATGGCTTGCCCGAGGTCATCCAGCCAGGTGCAAGTGGAGGAGTGGGGAATCAAACCTGGTTCTCCCAGATTAGAGTCTGCGCACTTAACCATGACACCAAACTGGCTAGTGATGTGAAGGCTAGTGATGTTGGTTGCAGTATCATTCGTAAGAGCTCCTGAGCCCTGCCAAAGCCGCAAAGGAGAAGACTTTTTTGTTTGCCCAACCAAATGGGCAAAAGGGACAAAAATCGGGCCACAGAGAAAGCCCATAAGCAAGCAGACGTGACAGACTAAGGATTCAGAAGAGGGAACGAGCACCTTCTCTCGAGCAGGCTGCAGCAGTCCCTGGGGGGCCCCGGGGGGCCGTTCTTTCAGGATCGGTTGCTGCTGGCCGTTGGCCGCACCTGCCTCCTTGAAACTTGGCATCTTTTGCAGCGTCTCTTTGAGCTGTCTGAATTCGTCCATTTGGGCCTGAAAGAGCGGCAAGAGGAGGCACAGGCGGTCACGTTAAATGATTCACATTTAGTGCATATACAATGTTTGGGTATGTATAGGGGGGGGGAATAGTCAGGGGTCATTTCCCGCAGGAGCACACAGGAGCGGAGCTCCAGCAGTAAAGAGCCCAGGGAGCAGGCACACACAACAAGCCCTACCCCCTGCTCCCAGCAGCCCTCAGTCAGAGCAAGAAGCAGCCAGGTAAGTTGCAGAGCTTCCCCTGGCCCCCCCGATCCAAAACAGTCCAGTGGCACCTTTAAGACCAAGTTTTATTCAGGTACAAGCTCTCCCTCCTCTGCGAGGGCAGATCTGCACATCCCCCCCCCCAATAGCTAGCAGTCCAAAACAGTCCAGTGGAGCCTAAGCGGTGGGTGTTGCCTTCTGACACACTTCCGGTGATGTCAGGGGGTGTGGCATATGCAAATAAGTTATGCTAATGAGTTATGCTAATGAGCTCCTGCACATCTTTTTCTACGTAATGACCCCCGGGAATAGTCCACTTCTTCAAAACCACATGACTCTGACTACACACATGCGAAGATACCATGTGCTACCAGTCACAGGAGAGTGGGGAAGAATGCACATCTATACTGCCATTCTATGTGACATTACCAAGTCCCGCCTCCTAAGTATCAGGGTCGGGGACCTGGCGACCTTCGCCAGCCTCCGCCCCTTAGCTTGGCTCCACCCCTTAGCTAGGCTCCGCCCCTTAGCTGTCAAGCTCCACCTCTTGAGTCTCACGGTTGGAGTCTCTGCAGCCCTGACGCTGAATGGCCTTTGAATTTGCACCACTTAGGGCTGCTGGCTCTGGGTTGGGAAATACCTGGAGATTTTGGAGGTGGAGCCTGGGGAGGGTGGGGTTTCGGGGAGGGGAGGAGCCTCAAGAGGGTATAATGCCATAGAGTCCGCCCTCCAAAGCAGTTATTTTCTCCAGGAGAACGGAACTTGGTCATCTGGAGACCAACAGTAGAATCTTTGGGTGAGTTCAGACGCGCCATTTGATCTGGTGTCATGACAGTTCAGCGACAGATTTTATACGCACGATCACACAGTCAACATCTGCCTCCCGTCCCCAGCTGTTGGTTTCTGGCTCAAAACTGCTTTAACCCGGAGTATTTTGTTACCAGGTTCCAAAGTGGTGTTTTCTCAGCTCTCCCATTTAAAGCCGCATTTCCCCCCTGTGTGATCGCTCCTCCCGTGTCAAGCCACTTCCAGTTTAAACCCCCTCCCCACTCGAAAGCTGCCCGAGGCTTCCGCTTTTTGCCTTTTTTTTTTTAAGCGTCGGCGGTGCGCGTAGGCGGAGCTCCGCTACCATGTTTAGAAAACTGACATTTAAACGGTCACTTGTTTTAGCGTTTAGATGAGTTCGGGATCTCACGGCGGCCATTTTCGGGTCAATCGTTTAGAGGGAAGTCTTTTGTTGGAGGGATTAGATTGATTCGCCCTGGTGGTTCTATGCGTGTGCCATGGTAGTTTCACCCCCCCCCCCCATTCTACGGATGAGCGCCTATGCGCATGCGCAAACTGAGAAAAAATTTTAAAACCCACCGACACACGCTCCCGCACATCGGTAGTGTAGACGCCGGGGAGTGACGTGACTGCGCAGTGAGGCGGGATAAGGGAGGTAAGCATGATCGCGATTATCCAGATCAAATATAATCCGGTTAGAACCGGAGCAGTTTAACCCGCTCTCAGCACGCCGACTGACCACACCCATAGAGTTGAAAGGGACCTGCAGGGTCATCTAGTCTAACCCCCTGCACAACGCAGGAAATATCTCCCCCTCCGCACCCCCAAGGTTCAAACTGGCCTGGAGAAAAATTGCTTCCTGACCCCAAAGTGACGACCAGCATATCCCTGGGCATGTAAGCAAGGGTCACAAGAACTAAGCACTAAGGCAACCCTTCCTGCCCTCCAGTAATAGCGGGAGCGCCGGGAGATCTCCAGGTGCCCACGTGGAGGCTGGCAGCCCTAGCACTACTTGAAGTTGGCCTGGCAGCTGACTGGGGTGCACGGCTTCAGACTGCAGAGGAGGTCATCTTTGAATGCTGCCTGGGTTCCAGACCACCAGACTCCTTCCGTGACCGACTAGATTCTGTCTGCTCGACCAACTAACGAGCCTTACCCTATACTCTGAGGCTCTGCCCCATCTACCTACCAGGCACAGAGAGGCTCCTCCCCTGACCAGTAACATAACCTCCTCCTTTTATAGGGCATCAATAGGCTCCGCCTCATCTTTCCAGGCTCCACACCCTTGTGAGGCACCACCTCTTAACTCCAAGACTCCACCCCCTAGTTTTCAGGGTCTAAGCCTCAGGTTTCTAGCAGCCTTAGAACTGGCAGGCCTTAGAACATTCACCACCGGTGACTCCGTCTATACAACGCAGCCAAATGACGTGGTACAGTCCTGAGATAGTGGGGTGGACTGTACCACTTCAGGCTGTAGGTGAAGCAGGCCATTACCGAAAACTGAAAAGAAATTAGTTTTGATCAAGCACTTTAGGGAGAAAGGTTCTAGCCTGACCTTTCATTTCCCGGATACCCTGCACAATGTGCTGCTTCCATTCAAAGCACAACAAGAAATAAGAAAAACATCCCGAGGGTATTTGCAGGAACCATCTGCCAAAAGGAGTTAAAGTGAACAGAATAAATGCACTTAAAAAAAAAACCCAGTTGCCTTTATTTTCAGCATGCTTTTAAAAAAAACCTGCTCTAGTTCAACAGCTGTGCGCTCGAGTCTTTCTGGGTCCTTCCAAACGGTAGTACAGAAGCCGAAGTGTCTTTTCAGAAAGAACGTCTGTTTTGTTGCAGGCGTCCGTCAAGACGCAGCTGTCGGAAGGAGAGCGTTCGGCCAACTGCCCATCCGCCCCCATGCCCAAGACCCTGGAGAACTTGATTTGGGTCACTTGGCTTATCCATAGTGAACAACATGCTTCAGCACATGGAGGTTCGCGAATACCCATGAAGTTGCCTTCTACTGACTCAGAGCCTTGGTCCCTCAAGGTCAGCCTTGTCTACTCGGACTGGCAGCTGCTCTCCAGGGTCTCAGACAGAGATCTTTCCCATCCCCTACTGCCTGGTCCCTTTAACTTGAGATGCCGGGGACTGAACCTGGGACCTTTTGCCTGCCAAGCAGCTGCTCTACCACTGAGCCACAGCCCCTCCCCAGTTAAGGGATCTCAGGAAGCCACTGGCCTCCCAAAATCGTCCCCCAAGTCTCTGCAGAGCTCCGTCAGAGTCTGGCTGGCTAACCATTACGGCAGAGTCAAAAGTGCCATCATGGACTTTATTGGTTCCAAAGAATGGTCGGGGAGCCAAAGATTTCACATAAGTCTCCATCGCTCACCTGTTCTCCCTAATTCACCACTGTCCTTCAGAACAAAAGGTCTACCCGCTTCTGCTGGACACACACCAGTTGCAAAGCCCAGATGTATCATCCTCCCTTGGACAGGCCTTTGAAGTCTTCACAAAGCCAGATCCGAGCGGGATTCACAACAGTGCCGCTTCTAATTCGCCACTGTCCTTCAGCACAAAAGGTCTACCGGCTTCTGCTGGACACCATCCCCCCACACACACCAGTTGCAAAGCCCAGATGTATCATCCTCCCTTGGACAGGCCTTTGAAGTCTTCACAAAGCCAGATCCGAGCGGGATTCACAACAGTGCCGCTTAGCCAATCAGAGTGAGGCCACAGCTTCTCCTGCCCTCATTTTACCATCCAGGGGCGGGGAGAGGAATTGATCCAAGCGACAGTGACGGGTTGCCATCATCAAGAAGCATCAGATTAGGAATTCCCAACCTTCCAGCGCCCGAATTACAGTTGCCAAAAGGCTCACTTCAGGTCAGAGGGGTACGGGAGGGGAGAGGGGAAGGTTAACCCATCTCACCACCTGCATGATTTCGCTAACCAAGCCCCCCTAAACTGCTGATTAGCTCTTAAAAAAAAAAACAAGACAGGAATCTACCCCCCCCTTTAAGGGCCAGAAGGGAAAAATTGCCCCCCCCCAAAAAGGATTACCAGGAGGGTGAAGTTGTGGGGCATGGAAGGCAAGTTGGGGGGGCATTGCCATGCTTTGCCCCACCGTGGCTACGGGCCTGGCCAGAACAGTGCGACACCTGGTCAGTTTCAGCCAGCAAAGTTTCGATCCTTTCTTTTCTCCCCACATGAGCCCAATCCAAGTTAGGACCTTGCATGAACACATGTTCTCTTGGGGAAGATCCAGCTGCAGATCCGATGGTGTTTTGTCGGTTTTGACCCTGCTCTGGGAAACGCTTTGGTCCCTGTTTGCAAAACTCCATGAAAAATCTCTCCCGGCAAGGAGGAGGGAGAAAATATTCCCAGCCTGCAAACAGGGCAGTAATAGCTGGAGGCCTATTTTGGCCCAGCCCTGTCACTGATGCCTGGCCAAACACTCCCCCCCCCCATTCTAATTTGGCAGAATGGCGTTCCAAGAGCCTTACCTGCGCACTGAGAAGTTGGGAATGAACATCCTGGTGAGCCTTTCGAAGCAGTTTGCTCTCTTCCCGCAGCTTGTAGACCGTATCTACGAGAGAGCACACCGGGTCAAGTTTAATCACGACATTTGCATTTAGAGAAAGTTTTCAGCATTTAAAATGCTTCACCTACACTGCAGGTGGAAAGTGGTGTCCTGTTTGGTGTAGTGGTTTGATGTAGTGGTTAGGAGTGCAGACTCTAATCCGGGAGAACCAGGTTTGAGTCCCTACGCCACCACATGCAGCTGCTAGTGTGACCTTGGGTCAGTCACATGTTCTCTCAGAGCTGTTCTCCCAAGAGCAGTTCTTGGAAGAGCTCTCTCAGCCACACCTACCTCACAGGGTATCTGTGGTGGAGAGGAGAATGGAAAGGAGATTGTACGCTGCTCTGAGACTCCTTCGGGTAGTGAAGGGCAGGGTAGAAATCCAATCTCCTCCTCCTCCTCTTCTTCTTCTGTTGCAGGCAACGTATGGGTTTTCAAGGCAAGAGACAAACAGAGGTGGTTGGCCATGGCCTGCCTTTGCACGTCAGAGTTCTTCTACCCAAATACTAACCAGGGCCAACCCTGCTTACCTTCTGAGATCTGACGAGGCCAAGCAAGCCTGGGCCACTTTACCTTGCTGCAGTCTTAACAACAGCCCTGTAAGGTTGGCCAATATTGTCATTCCCCACTCTACAGATGGGCTACATTTGCCTAAGGCCTCAGTGGGGTGTGATGCTATTAGCCACAAGGTATAGATAGGAACTCTCAGTCTGGGGCAAGTGATGCTTGTCTTCTTGGTGCTTGGGGGGGGGACAGTGGGAAGGGCCTCTGGAGTCCCGGCCCCACTTCTGGACCTCCTGATGGCACCTGGCATTTTTAGCCACTGTATGACAGAGTGTTGGACTGGATGGGCCATTGGCTTGACCCAGCATTGGCTTCTCTTATGTTCTTCTGATACCATAGAGTCCACCTGCCAAATCCTCCACTTCCTCTGGGGGAACTGATTTCTGTGGTCTGGAGATGAGCTCTGATTCCAGGAGATCCCCAGGCCCCACCTGGAGGCTGGCATCCCTCATCCCCAGTCCCGATCAGCCGTTCCATTTGTGCCATTTTGTCCCAACTGGTCTTCTGTTCTTGGAAACTGGGATGCTGCCCTGCAGCCGACGCTCCTTGGCTCTTTGAAGGTGTCGCCGAAAGCCCACGAATCCTCTGCTTGCCTGAATTCATGGTGTCAGATCCCTCAGTGGCATTATTGTCCTGCATATCTCATTGCCTCTGGGACGACGGCACTCTTCCCGGGAAGAGAGGCCCAGGTCCAGGCCCGTAGCTACAGGGGGACATTCCGGGGCCAGCCTCCCCTTACCGCCCAGGCCTCCCAACTTTCCATCCAGCCAGTTTATTCTATTTGTCTCATGTGCCATGGCTGCACCGTGTCAAGCCACCACCCTGCCCTGCCCTGCCTGCCAGCAGTGTACCTCTGGCTGGCTGGCTGGCTGTGGGCGAGGCACGCCACAGGGCACATCTGCTCCCTACTCCAGCCCTATCTCTCTCTCTCTCCGCTTTTTTAACCTTTCACTCTCTCGTTGCTCTCGACACAGTGCCCCCCCGACTTATTTAAATGCCCCCCAAAGTTAAAAAAATCCTGCGCAGGCCCGTAGCCAGGATTTTGTGGCTTGTGGGACAATTTTTTCTTTCTGGTGGGGCTTTTGGGCTGCCATTATTTGCCATAATGAAGGGGGTGGCGGCGTGCACCCCTCTCCCTCCTCTCTTGCAAGATTTACAGGGCCCTTCAGCTGATCGGCGGGGTGCACGTGGCCCACTGATCAGCTGGAGGGCCCTTTAAATCTGGAGGGAGGGAGAGGGGTGCACGCCACCCCCCACTTCCTCTCAAAGGGTCCCTTTAAATGCTTTTGGGAAGAAGCAGGGGACCATTTTAGGGAGGGGGCAAACCCTCTAAGGAAGGGGGCAGAGCCCCCAATCGCCCCACCGTCAGCTACAAGCCAGGAGAGGCGCCGTCGCAGGGTGTGGGTCTGTATGGCAACGAAGCAGCAACCCGATGGAGGTATGAAAAGGCCTCTCCTGGAAGAACTGGCCATGTGGAAAAGGGATTGCTGTCACTACTTTCCCAGTGATATTGGAGAGAGACTGTGTTTTTTTCTTTTGTGGGGAGGTAGCAGGGAGAAAAGGCTGCTTTTCAGGGGGAAATGGGAATATCTGAATGGTCTGGACCGTAAATCCTTTGGCCCTCTGTCAAGCCTCCCCAAATAAATGACAAAGAGGGGAGTCACTCTGCAGGGGGCGAAGCTGTTCACGGAGCGTGCCCCCTGGGTTGGCTCAGCCCTATTCAATGCCTCCATTACCAAAGAGAAAACAGCTGTTCCTCTAATTGAAAACAGTTAGAAGGAGTCCTCTAGGGCACTAAACACTCACCACTGCTGCAGTTCGCTGCAAGGTCTTTTCGCTGTCTCTTGGCTGTATGAATCTGGTCTGATTGACCATTCCAGCCTCCTCCCCACAACAATTTCCTGAGCCAATCCATCCCATAAGAACATAAGAGAAGCCATGTTGAATCAGGCCAAGGGCCCATCCAGTCCAACACTCTGTGTCACACAGTGGCCAAAACCCAGGTGCCCTCAGGAGGTCCCCCAGTGGGGCCAGAACTCCAGAAGCCCTCCCACAGTTGCCCCCCAAGCACCAAGAAGACAGAGCATCACTGCATGAAACATAAGAACATAAGATAAGCCATGCTGGATCAGGCCAAGGGCCCATTCAGTCCTGTGTCACACAGTGGCCAAAACCCAGGTGCCCTCAGGAGGTCCCCCAGTGGGGCCAGAACTCCAGAATCCCTCCCGCTGTTGCCCCCCAAGCACCAACGTGTTTCATTGGGTCTCAATGAGTGATTCAAAAGGGGAATCTGCTGTCAGATGTAGTGATGGCCACCAGCTTAGGTAGGCGGCTTTACAAGGGGACTAGGGAGCTTCATGGCGGAGAGGTCAATCGGGGGCTACTAGCCATGGTGACTGAGGGGGACCTCCACATCCAGAGCCAGGAGGGAACATCAGGGGAAGGCCTCGGCCTCTGTGCCCTGTTGCCGGCCGTCCAGAGAAACCGGTTGGCCACTATGTGAAACAGGGTGCTGGACTAGAAGGAATATTGGTCTGATGCAGCAAGGCTCTTCTTATGTTCTTATTTTCACCAGAGGAACTGATCTCTGTCATCTGGAGATCCGTTGTGATTCCAGGGAACCTCCAGGCCCCATCTGGAGGTTGGCAACCTTACCAGATGTGTGTGGCCGGGATCCAGTAGAAACATAGCAGCATATTTTGAGCCCGAATGTTAATTGATATCAGCATCCTATCTGAATTTAATATTCTTAAGACTTGTTGTCTAACATTTATGAAACTGAGAGCTTTGGCACCACTATAATATCTCCTGAAGAAGATCCATTCTTTGAAACGTTGTTAAGTAATCCGGAGACGACGTTGATTATGTACCTTGGTTCAAGGATTTTCTATTGAGTTAGAACATAAGAACATAAGAGATGCCAATGTTGGATCAGGCCAAAGGCCCATCCAGTCCAACACTCTGTATCCCACAGTGGCCAGAAATACCAGTGCCATCAGGAGGTCCACCAGTGGGGCCAGGACATTAGAAGCCCTCCCACTGTTGACCCCCCCCAAGCACCAAGATGACAGAGCATCACTTGCCCCAGAGTCCCTATCTATACCTTGTGGCTAATAGCCACTGATGGACCTCTGCTCCATATGCTTATCTAATTCCCTCTTGAAGC